ATTTATCCACAATGGTTGGCAAAATGGTTTAAAAAATATAGGTTTTGAGAACACGGGCGTGCGGAAAATATACGGGTCGGTGGCTGCAGCGGCTAGATGTGCCTGTCCTCTGTAAGAGGTGTGGGGTCGGCGGACCTACATGGCAAGGAAGAACGGCCTGTTCCACAGGCTGTTTCGCAACTTTAACAACTGGGTATGGAACTTCCAGGGGTAGTGAATTGGCAACATGCAATTGTAGTTGGCGGCTGTGGTGTTATATTTTCATGCCCACGGGACACGCATGCTTCCAACACACAAAGCTGAATCAACACTACACTTTTCGATCGCTGACCGCGTCCTTAGCCGATCTTTATAATAACAAGTGCACGTTAGTGATGGCCCATGCAATCATGTTTGAGGACCATCCCGGCTTATTCTAGAGGGGGTGCAAGGGAATAGTCCAAGTAGTGGGGGGGAGTTTTATGACAATATGTTTAAAAACATAAAAATAAAAAAAGGGGTTTAAAAAAGTTATCTGCTTAATGTTTTAAAGGAGGTGACGCCTACTCAGCCAAATCAAATCGCGGTGCAGTCAGCACGAGGTAGATTCAAACACACACACACAGCAGACGAGACAAGAGGAGAGAAACTAGTCGGGGAAGTAATTTCAAATGGCGGTAAGGTAGACAAAGCGAAAACAGGAGCATTTAATTACATTTTCTCTTACGGCACCTCTTTGAAATTGCAATGAATACCCCTGCATTATAGCAACAAACAACAATAATAATAATAATGATAATAATAACAGCAATAATAATTGGGAGGGGGCGCGGCTGTTTCTATGTTCTCTGGGAGGGGGAGGCTCACCTACCCACACTTTGAAAACCCCCCTGTCTAGGGGGGCTTGGTTTTAGAGAGGCATGATAGTTATCTGGTTGGCTATTGTCAGAAACGTAGCTTAGGTTTTTGCAACAAACTAGCGCAAAACGTTGCGTTAAAAAGTAATAACTGGATGAGTCAAGCCATTTGGTTTCCAGAAATGATATACTTATCTTGTAATAGGAGTTGCTAAGAGTTGACATCAGTGGTAATCCTAGCTGCAGCAAATAGCTCCTATACCGCACAGTTTTAGTTTTCAGATTCAGGATTTATTTGTTATCTTATGTATAAAGTGTTATTGTACGGCTGCTATGTTGTTGACAACGTTCAGCATCAATGGCATTTAATAGATTGGCTTTTTATTTCATATTTGGACAAAAACAAATATTAAAATAATTTAATATTGTACTAATAAACGGTTTACTTCGCGAAACGTTATTGAATTACTAAGATTTAGGCAAAGACTGAGCCCAGCCCTAAGGAGAACCAATGTCTTTGTTGGGTAAAGCTGTTATAAATATATATTATTATATATATATATATATATATAGATAGATATGTTTATATAATATATATATCATAATACAGTATAACATTATATAATATACATTATATGTAAGCAGATTACGTATATAATTTAGTGTCCGCATGGTGGATCTGACCATGCGCTTGATCTTCTGTCGTCAGATACCAAGGTCGGCGGACCGTCGGAGGATTTTGAGCTGGAGGCAAATCGAGTCGGGGCGGGCTTCTGCAAGAATGCCACATTCAAGGCCCGACTTGCAACAGCTTCCAGCACGACGCTCTGGCTGATTACATGGAGAGGAACAAGAAGCGTGAAAAGAGACAAAGGGAGGACAGGAGGAGTGCGACTGAGGGCCCTGGAGTGTTATCTACAGCCTGAAAACAGCAACCATACAGGGTGGGTTGGGGTAGGAAGGTGAAGTAGAACTGAGCGATTTAGGTGTGGTGGATGGATTAAGGATAACGGTAGATTGAAAGAAAATATTGAATGATTAGACCAACCTTTGTGTTCTTGATTGTTTTTCCTCTTATTCTTCTTCCTCTCTTTCCCTCCATCTCTACAGCGTCTCCTGTCAATCAAGACACCCGCAGTCTCTCCCCAACCTCCAGCCTGCTCTCCCTCCAGGACTCTGTTGCAGATCGAAGCTTTCTCCTCCTAGCTCCGCCCTCCCTCCTAGAGAGGACCTGGTGGAGCCTTCCATTTTCCAACCTCTTCTTACCCGGGGGCAGGGTGACACTCCAAGGCCCAGCATTGCACTCATCTACTGGGTAATATAAAAACCAGGTGGTTTCCAACCTTTATTGTGCCAAGGACCGGCAGATACATTAAAAAAAATGGCGGTTGTCATATTTGAACTGATTTTGAATATTTACTCACCAGCAGGTAGCAACAGACTTAATTGTACTGTAACAGCCTGAAAAAAAAAAAACAAATACTAGAACAATATGAATCCAAAACATATTAACAACTTTAGAACCGGTGTTTTTCGGAAAAACGGAAACCAAAAAACCGACGTTATTCAGAATTTTAAACGGAAACGGGAAAAAGATAAATCAACGTTTTGGTTTTGTTTGTATTGATTTACGGATAATCCAGTGAATGTTGGGAAAATGAGGATAAGGCGCATTATGAAGGAGATGTCCGGTCGCCAGGGATGTGTTGTGTGTGTGTGTGTGTGTTGTGTTGTGTGTGTGTGTGCTTCGCGGTCTGGCCGAACCCACGCCCTTAGCTGTGATATAATGAGCTATACCACGGCCTTGTCGTGAGCTATTGCTTAAATATACACCACACATACTGTACCATACTTCATACAGATATGTAGACATATGCACACATTATGAGTTAGAAATTAAAAATGTTTCTAGTCTTGGTAGACTTAAAACGGATTCATATAATGTCAATGAATGAACTGAATATATAATAATAATAAATTATAATTTCTATAGCGCCTTTTCTTGAACCCAAAGGGACGTTTACATTTGGGACAGGAGGGTAGACAAACAAAAAAAAACAAAAAAAACAACCAAAAAATGACAAAGTTCATTGGTTTTCTTCTCCCAGTGCTCCTTCTGACTCCCTCCCTGAGCTCCCAGCACGGGTTCCTCCAGGACGGTCCTCCGGGGTGTTCCCCTCCTGAAGCAGGTGGGCTCAGGAGACAGACCTCCAGCAGCAGAGACCTGCAGCAGTCTGCCTCAGAGCACCCCCTCCACCTGCCCGTCCCAGCAGCTGAACGGGGGCTCTGCAGAGGGCTGGGCTTCCGCTCGAGGCTCCTGGGAGGTCAGCCTCCACTGAGGACCTCCTGGGGAGGTCTGAGGAGAGACAGATGGACTCCTCAACACTTTTGCCCGCCACGCTCCTCCCCTACAGCCCAGAGACTCCATCAGGTTAACACTGACTCCTACTCATAATCCATTTCAAATGATCACTATCGTTGTTGCGAGTTGCAAGTTAGCAGGAAAAATATTTGCCCTATTATAATATAACCAAGAAATAAAATAATCATAATATGAAATGATTGGTGATGAGTGTAAGTTATTATTTCTATTGTCTGCTACTTAGTACTTTTACTCCACTACATGTATTTAATACCTTTAGTTACTTTACAGATGTGGATGAATGATGTGAAATATAATCAAGTGTTAAATCAGACTTTAGTTCCACCTGGAGTAAATCCACAAGCTACCCTGCAGTATACAAAGTCATTCAAACTAGCTGCACCTTTACCAGCTTTGAGAACACTTTCATGATCAATCATTATAAAACATATCATATATATTATTCTGAAATGGACCAATCTGCACAATGACTACTTTTACTGTCACTACTTTCACTATATTTTGATGATAATACTTTTCTACTTTTACTTGAGGAACATTTTGAATGCAGGACTTTTACTGTAACAGAGTATTCCGACACTCTGGTACTTCTACTTTTACTCAAGTACAAGATCTGAGTATTTCTTCAGCCTCTGGTAGTTGTTGATAATGCCAGTTTTAGGTGTTGGCTGGTTGTTGGTGCAGACGGTTACTCTGGAGTTAAAGTGCAGTGCCTGATAGAGATGTGCCTTTGTGGCTGCTTCAATGAGTTTAAAAGTGAATCTGTGCACACATGAAAATGTTATGGCCTCAATAAACTCAAAGCCCTTTTAAAAGTTTATAAATCAGGTTTGATGAATGCTTTAGAAAGGACAAGTTCGAACTGGCCGACACCTTTTTGAGGTTAGTCAGCGTTTGCATTACCAAGTGCCTTACTGCAACTAGCACGTGGAGAAATAGGAACCTTCTCTAATGTGTTTCCTGGAGAATTCCCCAACATAATACTGAGATTTTCACCAAATAATCCTTGCAATAACTATCTTCTTTCTTTGTCATAGGGCCTACTTGTGAATGTCTATTAGTACATGTTTGACAATATGTGATTTATTACAATGTGTTCATAGTCCAGTGGGGTGCCTGTTTGATTTAACCCTGTGCTTCCTGTTCTCTTCCCTCGGGCTAAATTGTCACTTAGGTTCCAGTATTTCCGCTCAATAAGGCGTTTATAGTTATGTATGATAGTTGTATCCTCTGTTTGGTATCCGTATGTCCGATAAAGTTCTTATAGGGATTACTTAGTCAACATGTCTACTTTCCCATTTCCTTCTGCCGTTACAAGAGCAGGGACCCCTCGGAAGGACATTTCAAATTCCATACAATGTAAGTGTGGGTTAAAATGTTAAATTACATACACAAGAACCTGCCTGTATCAGCAAAAAAAGTAGCCCCTAAATAATTTTTCTGATATTTCCAACATTATATGCAGCACAAATTCCATATCTCGCAATATAAACGAAAGTGAAACATAATCGTGTTAACCCCCAATGATTAAGATCCATAATTTAATGTATTCATCCTCGTTCCATCGTTCAACTGAATGTCCTGAAGTCGGGCCAGCAGTTTTTCCTCACTCCTGCTAACAGACAAACAGACACACAAAGCAAGAGGAAAATCTAGTCAACTTCTTGGCATAGTTAATACAAAAAAAACTGTACATATTGCTTCAAAAAATAGTATAATGTTTAATAAGGACACAATAAAGGTGTACCAGTATACTGTGCATTTTTTTGGCCACCTATTGGTCCAAAATGAAATATCCTACTCAAATGGAGTAAAGAATGGATGTAGACATTCCCGGCCCTCATGGTATATCCAGTTAATTCATGACATGTTGCCGTTAAGGGACATTAGGCGCAGAGGCACACAGGAAATACCCAGGGTATTCAAAGTTTCCTGTGAAGTGCCAGAGAGCCGGTGGCTGGGCGCTGTCCGATGTGGATGACTGCAAAGATAACACACATAAGTTGTCACGGTTTGTGAAACAAGCAGGACCCAAATGCAGATATAAACTGAAAATTCCTTTATTTCAAGGCATATATATATATATATATATCTATACACACACAATGACAAAACAGAACACTCACCGCAGAACTAGTCATGGAACAAGACGAACCGACCAAGACAGACAGAAAACCCAGAACTTAAATAAACACAAGACTCAATCACACAACAAGACACAGGTGAGGAGGGAGGAGAAAACACAGGGGCCCAGGTGAACATAATCAGACAATTAGACACACCAGGGAAACTAATGACAAGAGGAAAAACACAGGGAAAAGGACCAGACAATAACCCAAAGGAAAACATGACATGGAAAACAGCAAAAACACCCAAACCTACAAAACTATAAACGTGACATAACATGAGAATCGAACTAAAATATAGAATGTAGTAAGTAGGTGTAGACATTTCAATTGATGTTCCGATACATTCTATCGAAAAATCGTCTACAGACCGCGTACGTTACTACACTTATGATTAGTTTCACATTTACGTCTGAAAATCCAGGTGGGACCTCCATTTAAGTCGTAAGGATGCGCGCGGGGACGTCATATGCTTTCAGTAAGCTTTGCATCGACGTGGGAAATGGTCGGAAACTCTTGTGAAAGTACTAAGGTTAGTAGATATGTTGTAGTTTGATAGTATCATAAAAGACTTACCTGGTTAGACGGTTGTTACGTGCATGAAAAGCCCGGATTATAAAACTGACGTAACTACGAAAAACATGAAAATAAAAAACTCATTATAAAACTTACGGTCTGAACTATGAACATTGTCTCATAAGGATGTCGAAGATGAGAAACTGAAACTCATGTTACTTCCAACGAAGGACTGTAACCGATAAATTTTAGAATTTTAACCCCGGTATGTATAAGGTGTCCACACCATTTTTGTTATGTGGTTTCCGTCACTCAACATACGCAATCATTTGTACGGGAGCTTTTTACCAGAACGGCGACGCATACAAGTTTCTGAAGAATTAATTTTTGTAGTCAGTCGGGAATCAAGGACGGTCGACTCTACATAAACAAAATTCCGGGCGCAGATGTGCCTCTGCTTTGTTTTACTTAACTACAGTTTTTGGGTGCGATGGAGGCGAGGGGTCGAAGGTTCTTTGGCCACAGGCTAGGTGTCCTCTGGGCGGAGGCAGGGCGACGGGGCTGCGCGGCGGAGATCCGGGGGGCATGTAATACGGCCCGGACATTCAACCGCGACGATGAAAGGCGGTGTTTTATGTGGTTTCGTCGGCTTATTCGGGGGGGACGTCGTACCAACGGTACCAACGGAACCAAAGGGGAAGACCGGGCGATTAAAGAGGCGCCGACCGTAAATCGTTGTACGATCAAGTACATTACCCGCAAGAGGTAGGCGGATGAACACCGGACGTACGCAAGACCGATCTCCTCGACGAATCCTACAACGTGCATTTTAGACATAGTACCACACGCCTGCATCGGCAGACCTCGGTGTTGCGCTTGGGGACAACTACGTGGGGTAACGAAACCAACCGCGCTTATGTAGTAGTCGTTACCCTGCTCCCCACTGCGAACCCCCCCCACTCGGTCCTCTCATACGCTCTCCGCGCCCCGCATACCGGCAGTATCAATGGTCCTTTACTAGCGTATCGGATTGGACGCATGTGTGCTCGGCGGTTCGCAAAGCAGGCGGGTCTACCGATGGGTGGAACCCTCGGCAATAGCAAATAGGTGCAAAAAGGGCGCGCGAGGGGGGAGCACACCTACTTAGATATACAGAAAGATAATATATTAGTTTATGTGTGTCTCTCTCTCTAATATTCTCTCTATCTATCTCTCTCCTCTCTATTCTCGGAAGTGGTTGGAGTCTCTTATTCTTTTGTCGGCCGCGGGGGTCTGTGATGGTGTTATATTTAATAACGGATTATTGTAATTAATATATTATATACAATACGTATACTAAGAATTACTCGTCTATTTATATAATTGGTCTATCGGCTTTACGGTGATGTGATGTATCGGTATCATATTTGTTTCACCGTAATGTATAATGTAAAATCCGACCGTCACGGTCATAATATGTGTTGTGGTTTTTGAATAAACTGAAAGTCCTGTTATTTTTTTGTCATATTATATAAACCGTCCTCGTTCTGGAGGGGTTGTTTCTATTTAAATGTGTTGGCTATCGTAGTAGTTATGTCTAATATCATATCTTTGTGTATGCTGTATGTTATGTCTATCTCCTTCTGTATGTTCATATTCTACGTTAGTATCTATATTGTCTTTGTGATCATCGTGTCTTTCAATTGGTATATACATATGTCGTTTGGGTGAGTGTTTCTACATATAATTTCTAATATTCGTATTATACCTTACGCAATTAATACGGTATCTCGATTGTCGGTTTTGAACTTCCGAGAAAGAGACAGTTAACATCTGGCGGGTTTATGATTAAGGAAGTCATGAACCCGCAGGCTTACGCGGCAGGGCAAGTTGTACTTTAGCGGCCGGGTTAGTGTAAAGGAGCGAGCGCCGGTCGCGCGCCCCCCGTCCCGCAATGTTCCGAGCGCAGAACACGGACGGTAGAAGTGAACGTGAGCGCTGTAATCCCTAAAAGAGAGTATTTACAGGAGACAACCTACTCGAGCTTTTGAAAATAAAGTTTTGTTTCGACCGCGCAAAAGACGGTCGTGCGACAGAGGAGAGAGTGAAATCCATTGAGAGGTGATTTTACCTAGGTACAACGCGAGCAATATTTCAATCGAATCACTTGATCGGGGATCTAAAGTGACAAAGAGCAATAAAAAAGAGTGTGAACGTGGAGGAGACTTCGAGAGACCGCCGAGGGGCTCCGCTCCGCGCGGAGTGTGAAACTTTTGGCGATCAAGATATGCTACTCTTTACATCGCCTATGTTGGGCAAAGCAAGAGACGACGACCTGCCGCCGAGAATTTCCAACGTCCTGTCTCCGAGAGCACAACATGGCTAGGAAATGCACACTTACGTAACAAATACACCGGTGTCGTACGAGACTAGGCTTCGGTCTAATCTCTCGGGGTTAAGTAGGAAAAATGACGGTAAGAAAATTCTTGAGACATCTGCGACACGATACTACTTTGAATAAACAGTGCTAAGAGTACAATGCAGTGTAAATAATCATAAACATCCGAAACCCACAAAAAACGCACAAAAGTACCAGTACAAAAAGGAATCAATAACCCAGAACCAGGAAAGGGGACACCAAAAAAGGAGAACAGTAAATCAAAGGGACCCACAGATTAGACAAGACTAATACAAGTGGACGCCGGACACAAAAGAGGAGGGAGGAGTGGACGACAGAACAACCCACTAAATCAGAAACACAAATAAATTCAAGACCCCAAAAGACGAGACAGAACACCCAAGCAGAAAAGGTACTGATCAAGACGTCACCTCACAAGACAAACAGTAACAGTGTGATACATATATAGCATCGGAACTTTATTCCTTCAAAGCTCAAATATAGACGTAAACCCGCAGGAAAACAAAGTGTTTGGCGACTCGTCATGCCTTCCTCTGGTTTCTACCTGGGTCGGTCTACTAGGCAAACTCCAATCCTTAACGGTCGGTAGAAATGGAAAATTAGACCGAACACCGGCAACTAACCACCTTCCCTCGCGAGCTCACAAGCTGTCTTGCCTCCGGCGCCGAGACCATCTTAAAGCTGGCCAACCCGACATACCTGCTTCGGTCTGACCACTTTAAGGAATGGACCGTACCTAAACTTGAAAGAGAGCTCACACCACTAAAGGTCGGACGACGTGACTGTTGCTTCGCCGCACAGAAGCACACAAGCAGGCCTCAGTTGGGGGACCGAAGGAAGGGGTCCAAGGACTGAAGGACAGTCCTCAGCACTACTACCTTTGAGCAGACCCGAATACCTCCGAGGTGCCGTTCATAAAGTCCGGCCGCGACGCCTTCCTCCTTCCTCAGCGCTTCCGGTCCGGATCGCGTCCGGCGTTGGGGATGCGGTAACAAACAGGCGCCCAGCTCACGGCGCGGGTGTGTCGGGTACAAAGGCCGAGGTCTGGCGCTTGGAATGTGCGGTCACGAAAGACCGAGGTCTTGGCCGCTGGCAATGTCGGTACGAACGGCGTCGAGGTCTTCGGCCAGTGTGTCGGTACGAACGGCCGGAGCGGTCTTGGCCTGGAATGTCGGTACAAAGGCCCCGGAGGTCTTGGCCTTTGGAACCTGTCGGTACCAGGGCCGGCTCAAGGCCGCGGGGGTCGGGTCGGTAACCAGCGCCGGAGGTCTTGTCCCGGGGGGTCGTCGGTACCAAGGCCAATGACGTTGGCCGGGGGTCTTTGGTACGCAGAGGCTGAGGTCGAAACGGCGATATCCTGACCCAGACAGGCCGAGGCTGCGGTCAGAGGGGCTCAGGTACAGCCCGCATGCCGTGAGGCCGTGGGAGCAGGGAGGCCACCCGACAGGCGCGGCTACGGTCGAGGTCACAAGGGACCACCTGACGAGCAGCCGCGGTCAAGGGACACAAGACAGCCGGTATGGCCGGCTGAAGGTCGTGCGGAGCACAGGACAACCGACAGGCAGCTGCAGTCGAAGGGGCACAGGACAACACGACGAGAACAGGCTGCCGGTCGAGGGGCACAAAGACAACCGCTTGGTTGGGTGAGTTCACAGTAACGCTCCAGGGCGTCTGACCGAGAAAAGACCGGCCCCCAGGACGTTGGGGTCCAGGACACGAGCAACCTCCCGCAGGGCGCTGATGAGAAGAGGCGCCCCAGGACGGTTGGGGTACGAGGGCACGGCGCAAACCTTCAAGGCAGGCTGACCGAGAGGACGGCCCCGCAAGACAGGCCGGGGGACCGACAAGGAGAAAGGCACCCCGCTAGACGGCTGTGGCGCCGAGCACGGGCCCGGAGGCCCTCGACAGGCCAAGAAACGGGGAGCCCCGGGCGCGAGGGGGACTCCAAGCCGGGCGACACGCAGAAGTGGGGGGAGGAGCTTGAGACGGAACGGGGGGCCCGGAAAGGCCGGGCTCGAAGGGGAAAACTTTGAGACCGGAACGGCGCCCAGCCAGGCGGGCTCAAGGGGGTGGAAAAAAACGCAGAGACGGAACGGGCCCGGCAGACGGGAGGTGGGCAA